GTGGTGTGCTGTACACGCCGCCAGTGAGTGGGAATAAACCTTGCGTTATCCGTACTTCATCTGTGCTGTATTCATCTGCGAGTGCGTTTCCGCGCGTCCCTTCGAACTTCCGATCCGCCCGAATCAGCTTAAGGTTTTAGCGTACCTTACCGAGAAAACATGGCTAGCGACAGCAAAGCGATCACAGGCCAACGAAAGCCCGGCAACGCTAGCCGAGGTGCCACGTCACCGTTTGACGTGGGACGGGAAACGCCACATATGGAGCCGTGACCACGAGCGGATCGGAAGAATAAGAAGAGACACACCAGCTTCATTTGGTGCCCTGTTCGCGTGTCGAATCGAAGAAGAAATGAAGAGACACACAAGGCAGATCAGGTGGGATGACGCAGGAGAAGAAGGAGTGGTAATCGCAGAAGCCGGGGAAAAACGTTTAACGGATGGACAGATCGGCAATGTGAGAGCCAAAACGAAGGACCCCCCACGAGGGGTCAGTCAGAGGGAGAGAATGAGTCACCGGAGCGGCTGGTAAATCAAGGTGATTTTAATCACAGACCGAGCCGTGCGGAGGGACCCGCGGAGACGCGGGGAGAGCCGCGGAGCATGTTATTGACAGCGTTAAGGAAAAGGCCGGCAGCAGGAAATCCCACCAACCTGGGCGGAGCTACCCTTACGGAGGGGTCTGTTGCGGTAGGTGCGGAGCCGTCCGAAGCAGTCCGCGGGAGACAGCTGCGGAAGATGGAAATGCTGAAGCTCATGACGGAGTGGAATAAGACGAATCCCGCACAGCAGATTAGAATGGTGAAGTCGGCTGCGGAAGAGAAAATAATGGAGACCGGAAGTCACCAGACAAGTAGTAAGTCGGCTAAAGATAGCGATAGTGACTTCTCCGGAAGAAGCCGCAGTCACCGACGTCGGCGCCGGAGGGAAAGAGAGTCGAGAGGCACGGACCGATGGAGGGGTGACGCGTCGAGTTCAGATTCCGGGAGTGGTGGCGGAACGATCCGGAGAAGGACGAGACGGCGTTCTAGACAGGCGAGCAATAGTCGAAGTAGGAGTAGGAGGTCTGAGAGCGGACCCTGCCGGCGACGCCACCGCAATGAACGAGAGAGGGGGAGTAGGAGGCTACCTACCTTAACGAGGCAAGGGCAAGGTACGGTTGTGGCTTCACGTTCACCAAGATGTCCGATACGGGTCGGAACGTTCGCGGGAGCACCCGGGGAGCCGTTGGACGAGTTTCTAAATTGGGTTGACGTGGCCGGACGGTACCATCATGGGATAGGGATGCAAGGGCAGATCAGCTTGTCGCAGCATTGGGAAGACCGGCCGCTGGTATACTGTCTGAGTCCGCGAGCCGGCAGAGTGAGGCAAAACTTAGGAGAAAGTTTATGAAGATCGGTATGGGCCGGAACAGCACCGGATCCGCAACCAGGCAGCCCTGGCCAGCCGGAGAAAGCAACCGGAGGAGGATTGGCCGCAATACGTGAGGCAGCTAAAGAAATTTGCGAAATTGACCATGCCACGAGCAAGCAGCAGCCAAATTAGTGAGTGACTGGTGCTCCGACTTAAGGAAGAGATGCCGACCGATGCACACAGAATCTATATTCTGGGGCAGAGGTGTAGGACGGCAGGAGACGTTGCTGCGTGTGCGGAAAATTTCGACGTGACAATCAGAAGTAGGGTGACGCCCCGGAAACCGTTAGTGGCGCCAGTTAAGTTCGAAGGAGTTGCCCACGAGATCGACGCGATCAACGAGGTGGAGACCGTCGCAGAGGCTGGACGATCCACGGAAGTAGAGACCGATATCCGTGCGTTGACGAGACTGATGCGGAAGCTTTTAGCATCCAGAAAGAAGAAGAAAGATCAAAACGGAAGCCGTCGTGGAGGACGGGGAACGAGTCGAGGAGGACCGGTGGACCAGATACGGTTGACTGCGTGCTTTCGATGCGGAGAAGAGGGTCACTTCGCGCGGGACTGTTGGCAACGTCCGCGGAACGGCCCGAATGGACACGTCTATGCGGGACAGTATCACGCCGGAAGAGCGGTAGCCGGGTCTGGCAGATCAGTACCACAGGTGGGAAGCTCACAAACCCTTCGGGCGATAGAGGGTCCGGAGGAAGCCGCAGTGCAGCGCGCGGAAAACTAGTGCAGGTGGGGTCCGTGCCGACGGCCTCAACCTGGAGAAAGAAACGGCGACGAAAACAAGGGCAGTGGAGAGCATTCCTACGGATGGCGTGGAATCGACCATCATGGAAGTTAACGCTACTGGTGGAGGGCCAGCTAGTAGATTTTCTAGTTGACACTGGAGCGGAGACATTGGTGATGGATGCCGCCGCTTTTGCGGAAATCTCGAAGGCTGAGGTAACGCTAAAGCTTACCAAGGCGTGTGTGATGAACGTGCAACACCGGGTATTGCCGACACACGGCGAGTGTCAACTACGATTTGCCTTGGGAGGTCAGACCTTCGACCATGATTTCTTAGTAGTAGAGATGGGAGAAAAAGTGGGAGTTCTCGGCATGGACTTCCTGGGTAAGAGAAACTGTCGGCTTGACGTGGGGCGTGGATACCTTACTGTCAACTGAGTGACTCATGCGCTGCACGGAGGTCGACCCACGGAGCCGCGGGTGTTATGGGCGGCCGACACAATCCGAATCCCTGCGGGACATGAAGTGGTCGTGCACGGGATTGTACGCGGGATGCGATGGAGAGCTGCGCGGTTAGCTATCGCGGAGCCCCCCCAAGAGGTTCGCAGAGAAAGGAGCTAATAGAGGAACGGTGATGGCTCGTTGTCTGATAGACACGGACGGGGCTCGTGTGCCACTATTCATGGTCAATGTAGGGCCAGATGACGTGATCATCCTCGCCGGAACCGAACTAGCGCGGTTGGATGAGGTCGCCCTGGTTGGGACGTTGCGCTGTTCGCCCGCTCCCACACTGAACTGGGGAGGCCGGACGTTGTTCGTCACAAGATCGACACGGGGGATAACTACCCCAGGAAACAGACTCCACGGAGGTGCCCGTTGGGTAGACAGAAAGCCCTGGACGCAGAGCTGGACCGGATGTTTGATGCAGGAGTGGTCCAGCCAAGCTCAGGTCCCTCGGCTTTACCGGTAGTGCTCGTTAAGAAGAAGGATGGCGGGGTCAGATTTTGCATAGACTATCGCAAACTTAATGAGGTGACGCAGAAAGACGCGTATCCACTTCTCCGCATCGATGACACCCCTGACTCCCTGGCGGGGGCAACCTGGTTCTCCACGCTCGACTTAGCTAGTGGCTACTGGCAAGTGGAGATGGATCGGGAAGACGCCGCCAAGACCGCTTTCTCAGTGAAACACAGGCTGTAATGTCTGATGCCAATGGGGCTTTGCAATGCGCCGGCAACCTTCGAGAGATTGATGGAACTAGTACTCCGAGGACAGCAGTGGACAGAGTGCTTGGTGTACCTGGACGTTTTTGGGACTACCTTCGATGGAGCGCTGAGTAACCTCCGACATGTGTTCGGTCGACTCCGGGAAGCCGGTCTGAAATTGAAGGCGAGTAAATGCCGCCTTTTTCGAAAGAGTGCAGCGTTTCTGGGACATATCGTATTACCAGAAAGGATGAGTTGTGATCCACGCAAGATCGAGGCAGTCCGGAAGTGGGCGAGGCCAACGAGCGTCGCCGACGTTTGTAGCTTCCTGGGTTTTGCTAACTATTATCGTAGATTTATAGAGGGATTCGCATCTATAGCGGGACCATTGACGGAGCTGACGCGGAAAGATCCTACCTACCAGTGGACAGACGCGTGTGAGCACGCCTTCCGTGAACTAATAACTCGGCTGACGGAGGCGCCCGTCCTAGCGTACCCTCAAGCAGAGGGTGGGTTCACTGTAGATACTGATGCCAGCGCAACCGGCATGGGGGCTGTTGTCTCAATGCCAGCGGGGAGAAGAGCGGGTGATCGCCTACTCAAGCAAAACTCTCTCCCGGACGCAACAGAGATACTGCACCATCAACCGTGAGCTACTGGCAGTCGTACAAGCCGTGAAACAATTTTGTCACTACCTGCAAGGGCGACTCTTCGTAATACGGACTGATCATGCCTCTTTAACGTGGCTGTTAAATTTTAGAGAGCCGGAAGGCATGGTGGCACGGTGGATTGCGTTTTTGGGGATGTTCGATATGAAAATTGAGCACCGTGCTGGACGCCTACATATGAATGCTGGCGGCTTCTCAAGACAGCTGGTGTGCCGTAAGTGTAGACGAGGCAGCTGCCCAGAGTGCAGCGATACCACCACCGGAAGCCTCCGACGCAACTGGCTGATGCCGGAGATAGTATGGTGTAGAAAGATAAAAAAAAGTTCGTGAGTGGCAGATGAAAGATCCGACCATACGGAAAGTACGGCCGGCGTACGTGGAAGCCGCCGCACTCGCGTGGGAAGACAAGTCGTTCTGGCATATCTGGGATAGATTAGAAATCCGCCGAGGACTGCTACACCATGTGTGGGCCGCGAGTCACCACAAAAAAAGATCGGTAGCCCAGCTAGTGGCACCGCGAGAAATGAGAACAAAAATATTAAAATTGCAACATGGAGCACAGATGTCTGGACATCTGGGAAGTCTCAAGACGTTGGAACGCATTCGGCAGAGGTTCATGTAGCCAGGAATGCGCGGAGACGTCCGGAGATGGTGTCAGGAGTGTGACGCCTGCGCCCGACGGAAGGATAGAAGGAAACGACGAGTCAGCCTGCAGCAGCAAGCTGTTGGAACCCTGATGGAGAAAGTGGCCATTGATTTTCTGGGACCACTCCCGATAATGGATGGAGGGAACCAATATATACTAGTGCTGTGCGACTACTTTACTAAATGGACTGAGGCATATGCATTGCCTGATCAAACGCCACAGACAACCACAGACTGTCTGATGACACAGTTCTTCGCCAGGTTCGGAGTTCTGAAAGCGATTCACTCCGACCAGGGACGGAATTTTTAATCTCAGCTGTTCGCTGGGATTTGTGAATTAATGGGCATTGAGAAGACACGGACGACACCGTATCATCCACAGTCCGATGGACTGGTGGAGCAATTTAATCGTACCCTACAGGATATGCTGAGCAAGGTCGTAGGTGAACATCGACGCGATTGGGATGACCATCTCCCATTTGTAATGGCAGCGTATAGGGGTAGTGTGCAAGAAAGCACCAGAGTGAGCCCGAACTTGATGATGTTTCGCAGAGAAGTTGGCATGCCGATTGACCTGATGTGGCCTGTTCCGAGGGATGAGGACGAACGCGTAACGAGTCACTGTCCTAATGAGTATGTAGACTGGGTGCGACGCGCAGCTGAAAAAGCTCACGAACACGCTCGAGAATGCCTGGGGAAGGCAGCGGAGAGACAGAAAAAGGGGTACGACAGCAGAGTAAACCCGCTCGGAATGAGGGAAGGCACATGGGTATGGTACTTCTACCCTCCAAACGATGTGAAGTTAAGACGTCCCTGGACCGGACCATTCCGCGTGGTAAAAGACCAAAATACGCTCCGTTGGATACAGCGGACGGCGGAGGGCGCAACCATGGTTGTGAGTGTTAATGATTTGAAACCATACGAGGGGGAGGTTGTTCTCGAACCCTGGGATAATATGGAAGAGGGAGGTGACCCTGAAGTGAGTGAAGCTAATCACGTAAGCGCGTAGACCTCTGAGGACAACAGCTCCAGCGGCGGAGTGAAGCAAAGAAACTTAGAACCTCTCAGGAAAACGTGGTTGAAACCAAAACGCAGAAGAGTGGCATACCTTGGGAGAGAAGGAATGATCTGGAGATGACGTGCGAAGGGGACGATGAGTGCAAACGAAGATAAACAACACCGAGGTGAAACAGTCAAAGACCGATATACGGACAATACGGGTAGCTCCGTTTCCGACTAAGGTACGACGAACACCCCGGATCGTATGCCTGCTTTATTCCCGCGTGAAGAAAGAACCGGAGGTGAGGACTCTAAAACAGCAGCAGAGGTAAGTAGCAAAGCTGTAGGAAAAATGGCTCGTGAGTACAAACGGACAGGATGGGCACGAATAGTGGATCAAGTTACGCGGCATCAACGGATTGTGCGACCGCCGAAATACTATGGATGCTAATCGTTATGGACGTAATGAAGCGAGTAGCTAGCTAGCGCAGCACAGAGAACGCACTGCGTACGGAGCTAGCGCGTCTAAGTCAGGGACTACAAGACGGAAGAAGACGGGAACTTGGCGGGGTTATTCGTGCTGCTTTTCACAGGGTGAAAAGGAAGCCGCGCCACCAGCGGTCGCCGAATAGAAATTATACACACAAAAAAGAGGGGGATGACGAAAAGCCAAATACAGCAGAGTTGTGAAGCGTTTGCTAAGACGGATAGCAAGACTGGATGATGGTAAACGTACCAGGTAAGCGTCACGGACGGACGTTTCCACGAGCACGCCTATCAATCTAAGTGGAGCAGCATAGCCCGAGGCGCGGAGCATGCCGCCGCGACGCGGAGCTTTCCGACAAGCAGGATCACCCTGCAATAATGGGGAGGAAAATGATAAGAATCAGAAAAGCGGTTATTCTGAACAAACACACCGCTGAACCAGGAGAGAAGAAACTCCATATCAGCGTAGAGGGGTCAATGCATGAGCCGCTCTGCGAGGTAACCGTCAGTTGTACGCGCACGAATACAAGAGGAATGGAGGGCCGTCTTGCAGCGGGAGATCACAGTGGATGATCGAAGGGGACCGGGTCACGCTGGCGCTCTGCCTAGACTGCATCGTCGAGTCTAGAACGAAAAAAGAGAATTCGACGCTGCGTGGCGAATGCAGGCGACAATATTGCCAGCCATTTAAACTTGTTTCCTGGGCATAAACATCTCGGGAAAAGAGAAAGCGGAATGATTAGTACTAAAAACCGCTAATCGCGATTCGAGTTCGCGACGTCATGAAAGCGATAAAAATGGTACTGAACGTAAACAGGTTGTGATGGAAAAAAGGGAACGTTTACAAAAAGTCTAACGACAATGGAAATAAAAAAAGGTCAAGCTAGGTCACTGCGCTAGTGGAGGGGCGGCGATAATGACAGAGGCAGGAGCGCTATATTAGAAAAAAACGCTAGTGAGTAGACGCAAGCTGGGACAGCTATCGAGAAGCGATAACAGGCGCGTGCTAAGATGAAACGCACAGCACCGGGAGGCGTACGTGAGAAGTCAACAGATTATTACTGTTTGGAGGCGTGCGGGAAGAAAGCCAGATGTTTGGTTAAGCGCGGGCCTTGACAAACGGGACACCGGCTGTAGGCGCATACAACACGCGTACTCTGGGATAGCTCCCACATTCTAGAAACAAAAGAGGACAGGGAGGAAGCTACAGGACATCGTGGTCGTGGCGTGAGCACGTGGCAAGTGACAGGAGCGTACATCACTTGCGACCTGAGTTTACTTGCAAGCGGAAGTAGTGTTAGTGACCAAGCATTACAAAAGGAGTTGAGAGAAACACCAAAGCAAAAGAAAGAACCCTTAGGGTAGGCTGCGTCTTTCGTGCGAGCAAGGTTAATGTGACGACAGGCGATAACATAATTTAGTGCTCCTCTGAACGCATGGAAAGTTACGTCTTTGAAGGAGCGCGCGGGCTTGATAGCGCTGGGATGGAGGAGACGCGAGATGAAACAGCTACCGACGAGGAAGAAATAGAGATTAAGAAAAGGCTGCAGGCCGCAGGGCATTTGCTGCAGAGGACAGAGAAGGAAGCGGCTCGAATCGCCACGAAAAGGGAGATAAGACGAGCAACCCAGTAAGTTCGCCAGAGCGAAGAGATCGTCGCCGGCATCTTGCAGGCGACGCTCCTGCGAGTGGAACAGGAAGCTATGGAGCGCGAGATCATCGCGAAGCGAGAACGAGATGACCGCAACGCGGAACTCGCTGCTACGGGGGAGAAGGAACGGCTGGACGAGTCCGCCCTTTACCTCGAACAGCAACGCGAGGCTGAGGCGGCCACCCTCCGCTGCCAAGAGCAACGCGCATGCACGAGGAAGGAAGCGGTGGACGCGTCCGACGCAGAGCAGCGGCCGGAACGGGTGGAGGCTGGATTAGATAAACTACACCGACAGCAGTTGGCACAAGTAGACGGATCTGTGGGCGCAGGGCTTGCCCTGCATGCTGAGGGATAGATGAGCGACAATGACGACGCCGCCGATCGATCCAGCACCCGCCGACAGCCATGATACGCCGCACAGAAAGAGCCACGCCGCCAAAATGCAGACCGAGAGGGGGAGCGACAGGCACAGCGAGGTGGGACGACGCTGACACCGGACGGCAGACCCCGACCCAGATGGAGTTGCCGGCCGGACACGGACCAGGGCGGACGATCTTCGTCGGCGCGCCTCTGCCTCTGTACGACCTATCTTCAGTAGGTTGGGCGTGGTGCGTGGCCTGCCGGGCACTCACCCGGCACCCCGAGGCACACCACGAGGAATTGCATATTCTACAGGGGGATGTCGTATCGCTAGCGTTAGCGAAATGCGCATAGCATTCGGCCCACCTCGGTCACCACCGAACGCTATGCGCATTGGGAATGCGTACGTCACAGGTCAACAGAAATGGCGCTCAATATATCCGCCGCTTGTCACTTCGAATTTGTGTAACACGTTATATTAGTTTAATACAGAGTATTGTGATACATAGTAAGTTCCAGGATAGCGGAGCAAGGTTCGTATTAAGAATAACGTGGAGAGACCCTAACCCTAACCCTAACCCTAACCCTAACCCAGGTTGGAAGTTCTAGTCTCTGAAAACGCACCAGGGGTTCCTCCACAGAAAACCATAGGCTCGCGTTGTAACCCTATCCTGTGTTTGGGTTACATTATTGTATCTAGGTGCAGTCGTGGGGTGGCACCTGTCCCTGATACATAAGAAGACTAAAGATTTTAAGCGGGCCAGCCCGCATTACTGGCCGCCCGGAGTGGGCAGATGGACAGGATATACCGGAGGAGACGTGGGGTACCACGCCGCTGGACCGAATCTGAGCCCCTACTACCCTCCGGGAACTTGCTCTCACATCCGGGCGGACTCCTACCCAAGGAGGCAGGGCGCGACCGCTAAAGGAGGGAGAAAACAAAGCCGACAAGCAACGGACGACGTCGGACGACCGCGGCGCAGCGTCACGACAGAGACGGAGCGTCAGGTGACATTTGCGACAACCGACGACGATAGACAACAGTCCGGAGGAGCGACAGCGTCCGGGGATTCCGGGTCACAACTAACACCGGAACCAACGCAGAGGCAGGGACTCCTTGCCACGCCCGTCCTGAACCGCCAGCCGCCACTGATCGTCGCCGCCAGCGAGTGGGGATCGGTAGTAGACGGACGCTTCTGTCGGCCGATGATTTGTCCAGACGTCGACATAGTGACCGAAATGTCTGATGCGGACTTGCGGAAAGCCGAGGTCCGGGCACTCGAAATCACCTCTTACGGAGTGCGACTGTAAACGGCGACGGGGAAAGAAGTGAGAAGGAAATTGCGAAGCGGCGCCGAGCAAGCAGAACGAGGCGCGCAGTAGTAAAGGAAAGAAGCACCGAAGAGAGGGCTCCGCGCGGACGACGTCGGCAGAGAAAACCTCCACAGTGGCAACCTGGACAGGAATTCCAAGTAATGACGCAGAAACTTCCGGAGCGGGAGCAGGACGACGACGGAGCCTTCCGGCCGCGACAGCAACGACGAGGGATGGAGCGGAGCAGCAGGGCGTCCCCGTGCTGTGCGCGGGGGAACGACGGCGCTGCGTAGAGACTCTCCCCGGGTGGCTCCGCGGCCGGGCGCAATGCTCCGATGTTCAGCGGGGAGCAGCCTAGTTAGTGGGAAGCCTAGCCGTTATGGATCCCCAATAGCCGCTCCTGTAAGCTTCCTATAGTGGGCTGGTAGATTAGCCACCGGTTTAAAGTGAAGAATATTTTGGTCATATAGGGGATATGTCTCGGGTGTATAATCTTTTGGGGGAAGCATCATAGCATGGACATGTAGTCGAAGTGGGAGAGTTGTGGGAGACTAGGTTCGTGTCTGCCGTTTCCATACTTCCGGGGGATACCCGACTCAGGAGAGTTCGGTGTCTTAGTGGGGGTGGGGAGTGTGGCAGATACGTCTAGCTCTCCCATCAATCCTACGTGATCTCGACGACCTCTGGTAGAGCAAAAACATTACGTGATCTCGACGACCCTGTCGAGGAATTTACGTCCGGTATGTTCGCGCGCGCGGGAAGCGAGATATTACCCAGAAGGCGCGATATATAAAGGCTGGCCGTGCGGCCACGGGGAGAAGTTAGTATCACTAGCTCGAGAAAAGTTAGTATCGCTAGCTCGGGAGAAGTTAGTATCGCTAACTCAGGCGAGTTGGCACCGTCAGCTCCGCGAGGAGAGTTGTAACATTGAAAGGGCTGGTGGTGTGTTGTACACGCCGCCAGTGAGTGGGAATAAACCTTGCGTTATCCGTACTTCATCTGTGCTGTATTCATCTGCTAGTGCCTTTCTGCGCGACCCTTCGAACTTCCAATCCGCCGGAATCAGCGTAAGGTTTGAGCGTACCTTACCAGGAAAACGCGTCTAGCGACAGTAAGGCGATCACAGGCCAACGAAAGCCCGGCAACGCTAGCCGAGGTGCCACGTCAGTTTGACGTGGGACGGGAAAACGCCACAATATAAAAAATGAAAAATAAAAAATAAAAAAATAAAAATAATACATAGTAAAGAGGAAAAGGGAAAGGGAAAAAAGGAAAAAAAGGGGAAAATAAGTTCCCCAGCTGGGACTCGAACCCGGAACCCCGGTGTAGGAGACGGATGTTCTAGCGATTAGGCCACTGCGCCGTTTAGGGTATACAATGGATTCACAAGTACGTGATGTTAATCTGTGTGCACCGCCATCTATTGATGAATAGAATGTTTATGAATTTTTAACTTTTTAACTTTTTTTTATTTTTGTTTCAGCCAGAACCATCTCCCAGCCGTGCTGATTGTCAAAATATCTTTAGTTTTTCTCTAGGCTGCGGAGTTCTCTAGTTATGTGTACGAACTAATTCGGCTGAATACCTTTAGCTCATAGGGTCTATGTTCCACAGGGTACTGCCGGAACGTATCCTGGGTACGGTCCGGTATACCGGAACGTACCCTGGTAACTATTTGATATGGTTAGGGTTAGGGTTAGGGTTAGGGTTAGGGTTAGGATTAGGGAGTAGGCGTAGGCGACTCCCTAGACTCGTTAGTGGAGTAGGCGAGGTACGGTCCGGCATATTAGATAGTACCAGAGTACGTTCCGGTATACCGGACCGTACCCAGGGTACGTTCCGGCAGTACCCTGGGGGACATAGACCCTCTCAGCACAACGCTCTATATATAGACAAGTTGGTAACGATGTGACGTGAACTCTACTGAGAAATATCGAAATGTAACAACTATATATATGTAAGTGAATGCTGTTATCATAACTCTGTGTACTGTGTACCTTATCAACTTCAGATTACTGATTGGCTTTGCTCTATGGTAAGATTTCAGCCTGACGCAGCAAAATACCACAAAATGGGCGCGCTTGTACACATACGAGTCGCATGATGTGATAACGGGGGTGCAGAAACGCAAGATTTGTAAAACAAACAATGTTCAAATGTCGCTTTGCTTTTCCATTTTTTTTCAGAGCGAGACGAAAAGAATAATTATTATTTGCAAGCGTGCCACGCCGCGGAAACGTGTTTCTATACACGTAGGCTTATAAAATTCGCATTTCTTATCTATCTCGCCACTAGATAAAATGACGCACCACGCACGCACCATCCACGCACGCACGCACGCACACTTGCACCTCCGCGCGCATGCACGCACATTCACGCATGCCCGAACGCATGTCGGCACGCTTGCATGCAGGCACGCACGCACGCACACTTGCACCTCCGCGCGCATGCACGCACATTTACGCATGCCCGAACGCATGTCGGCACGCCTGCAGGCACGCAGGCACGCACGCACGCACGCACAGTTGCACCTACCGGTATCCCCGCGCACGCTGGCACATTCACGTATGCCCGAACGCATGTAGGCACGCATGCAGGCACGCACGCACGCACGCACGAACGTGCGCACATACAAACTCCAACACCCGCCGCGGGTACACACACGCGCACATGCGTTTAAAGAAAGCATAGGGGACGCGCGCATATACGCACACTCTATAAGCAGTTCATTGCAGCTGATATTTTAGTCGTAAATGCAGAAGATGTTTGATAAGAATAGTCAGCAGTTGGGGCTACGTGACCGAGCCGGGGTCGCGGGATCGCAGGTAGACATGAGATCATCGGGTGAGTCAGGGCGGATCCAGGGCTGAAGCTAGACAGTATTTTTCCAGATTTTAGGGGCACATCCCCCAAAAAGGGCACACCACCCCCACAGTGGGCGCCGTTAGGCGCGGAAGCACATGGCGGGGGGTCTGGGGTCTTGGGTCAAAATTTCAAGGGTCCCTGAGCACAAAAATGAGCACTATTTGAGCACACATTTAGTCAAGCAGCAATAGCTAAAAACCATATGGAATTTTATTTCTGCTTCATTTTGCCTGCGCTTTGCATACCAGTAATTAATGCAGAATGATTCAAGCACTTCCCTTCTTTTTCAGATATCAAAGCTAGTTTTGTTACCATGTAAAATTTTGATTTCTTTCAAGTCCTATCAATAAATTAGAAGAAAAAGAAAACACATAAAGAATATAGCCAAATTCCATCAAATTGTTTTCTGTATTTTTTAGCGCAAAATTTCGAAGGGCACATTGAAATCTAGACCGTATTTCCCAATACGGCAAATACGGTCTGAATCCGCCCCTGTGAGTCAACGTGAAATGACAGGTGCGATAATGCTATCATGTGCGATGGCTGGATTTTACAGTGCACACGAACTAAACTCATAAGAAATTTGGCGAGTAGAAAAATCCACGTACTGACTCCGTGATAAAGAGCCTTTATATAGTATGAGAAATTGCAGTAACGCCATTTAAAGCCGCACTATGCGCATCTACACGCTAATTTCTCCAGTACTAGACTAACAAATACTTCGTGTCATGCAGAATCATACTACCTTATGACAAAATAAACTCTAGTTCCTCCCATTTCACTGTGCGTTGTCTTATAAAAGGCATTTGAAAATACCTCCAATGTTGTTCAAATTCTCCGATGTTGTTGACAGTTTCGCGTTGCTCTCCCAAGCAACCGTGCAGCGGTGCTGCGTTACAGCGGTGCTGCGGTAGAGCGGTACGGGTGTAGCAAAGATAAAAACATGTGACGTCACCTAACCGCTTCGAGGCTAAATTGTTTGGCAAACAAGTCGGCGTTGCATGGCGCCAGATTACCAGATTTCGCACCTCTTTCTTGTGGGTTTTAAGCAAACGCGCAGTGAAATGGGAGGAACTAGAGTTTATTTTGCCATAAGGTAGTGTGATTATGCATGGCACAAAGTATTTGCTAGTTTAGTACTGGAGAAATTAGCGTTTGGATGCGCATAGTGCGGCTTTAAGGAGAACGTTATTCAGAGAGAGAGAGAGAGTGAGAGAGAGAGATAGAGAGAAAGAGCGAGAGAGAGAGAGAGAGAGAAAAAAAGAGAAAGAGCGAGAGAGAGAGAGAGAAAGAAAAAGAGAGAGAGAGACAGATATATATATATATAGAGAGAGAGAGGGGGGGAGAGAGACAGACAGGGAGTAGACAATAACAGAGAGTAAGACGAAGAGAGATATAAGTGAAAGAGAAAGAAAGAAAGAGAGAGAGAGGGGGCGTGAGAGAGAGAGAGAGAGAGAGAGAGAGAGAGAAAGAGAGAGAGAGAGAGAGAGAGAGAAAAAGGGGTGAGAGAAGGTGGCAGGATGCGAGCTAGGGGAGAGAGGGAGGAGGAGAAGATGTAGCGGAGAAAGGGAAGAGGGACGAGAATGAGGAGAAGACATAGTGAAGAGGGGGAGAAGAGCAAGGTAGGGGAGAGCGGGAGGAAGAGAAACGTAGCCGGAGAGATGGTTACGTTAATCTGTACGCACCGCCATCTTTTGATGAATAGAATTTTTATGAACTTTTTTACTTTTTTAAATATTTCTTTCAGCTAGAACCACCTCCCAGACGTGCTGATTCTGAAAATATCTTTAGTTTTTCTGTAGGCTGCGGAGTTCTCTAGTTATGCGAGTACGAACTAATTCGGCTGAACAACTTTATATATATAGACACTTTTCTACCGTCCATATAGCCGTGCGTATATTAGCCTATGAGCGATACCGCGCGTATATTTTTGGTAATTAATTAAACTATTCCTGCTTCAATAAACTCAAAATTCACAAACACCACAGCTAAGACATCTGTTTATATGTATCTAGAATTTTAGAAATGTAACTCAAATCGTTCGCACCATATGATAGTTAGTACACTTTCCTACGGCCCATAGTGGTGGTGGTTCTAGCGCATTGTCATTGGTGTCTAGCGCATGGTGGTGGTGGTGGTGGTGGTGATGGTGGTGGTGGGGGGGGGGGTTAACGGCTGTTTACAATGCGCCAGCGGGCTCAATAGGAGCGGCGGCCGCCATATGAGCCCGAGGCTACGTTATCGCTCCACGTACGTAGGTCAAAGGTTGCACACTGCGCGCGGAAAACCGTGTTTCTGCAAACTACTATCGTATCGTTCGTATATTCGATATATGTATATATAGAAAAGAAAAGACTAGCGCCGTTGTCGCTTTTATTACCAATCAGTTTTTTTTCACTTGATAGCTCTAGAGTGTGTCGCACAATAATAGTCAAACATGAGATGTATTGTATCAAGAGCTAATAATACCTATTATTATAAGTATTATAATAGGTATTATTAGCTCTTGATTGTACTGATATATAATGACGTCACTGTAAGCCAGCAGGTGGGGCTCACTCGTATGCTGATAAAGGAATTACACAACACAAGCTTACTGACTATAAGCTATATTCTGACGACCACATTCGGCTACTACACGGATCAGAGAAACCTGATAAGACATAGACATATCAACAGTGCTCGAGAAAACATACTGTGGTAGAGTGACAGAAGCAGCCGCGACGACCGGTGTTGACAACCATAGATCTAGGAAATATACTTCGCCGAAATTCAACTATCAATCGTTATTACGTACAGTATGTTCAACTTGTCGATGAAACCAGACAAATTGCTACAAAGTCGTATTGTCAATTTGTTTGTTTCCCTAATAACGGAGGAAGACTGTTATCACTCCTTCCTTTAAACCCCATGCAACGTTGTGTTGCCAAAGGAATAGAGATTCATATAATGACGAATCGAACCACGAGAAGCTGGAAATTGCGATAAGTGCATGTTCAGATTCCACCATGTACTGTATATGGAACATTTGACACTAATTCCATAATTAATTGGGGGTTCGCCATGCTCGCAGAGATAATCATTTTGGGGGAAATCTCTTCTGGAAAGCAGTGATGAGCTAAATGCTGAACTTCGAACATCACCTAGGAAGGAAGGTCAGTATCAGAACTCCAGCTCAACTTCTTCTGTACATTAGTATCCGTACATGCACTTGCCGATATTATCTGCCAGTCGTGTGCATAGCACGCTAAGCGTCGTTCTTTCCTATTACAGTTCGCTCGAATCTTCTTCGTCCGCCATTCGGACGGAACCATTCGGTTGTTCCGTCTGCGTGGTTACGCTCGCATGTCTCCTCGCTTCGTGTTGAAACACACATCGACTGTGTATCGCCTCCGTATAGCACGCACGAAATGTACTGTCTGTCAGTCCATACAGGACCGGGTTTAATGCGCTCGTAGAGTGCGACATCACAGTAATGACGTTGACAGTAGTCTGCGAGAGGCGCACTGACGTGCTGAAGGCTTCGATGGTGTAAAGAAGGAAGAGGGGATACCAGAGCACCAGGAAGACGAGCGAGATAATGGCGAACATTTGTGTTGTTTTTAATTCGCGCTGCCACGTGACATTGTCAACGTGCCTCTCCGTGCGCATCTCAACGGGTCTTATCTGATCTCGTTGCTGCAAAGAAAAGACAAAATAGGTAATTAGCTACATTGATTGCGTGACGAATCTATCACAGGTCATCCATAGCTACTATACAATAGCTGCTAGCAGTCGTTGTGAAATCTGTGATGAGAAATATACATTCTATAAAACCTCATTCCATTTCATCTATGTTTTGTTACGTGCCCACTATGTGTAACTATTATTAACCACTGCCTACGTAAATTTTATTCCAGATCTTACATAATCTGTTGTAGTGTGCCCACACCTCTAGTTCTATACAGTAGGAATATCGGTAATTAATTCCTCTGTGGTAAAACTGCTTACGTCAAGGCAAACGTTGTAGACGATAGCCCCGTACAGAATGAGCATCAAACCAAAGGACGGAGTGAGAAAGACGACATTGCAGTAAGCGATGAAGCGCACGTCGATCAGCGAGTCGAAGAAACATCTGCAAGAAAGAAAGGTACGGCTATAGACCAATACATGACAAGGTGCGTCTATAGCCCAATACGTGACCAGGTGCGTCTATAGACCAATACATGACAAGGTGCGTCTATAGCCCAATACGTGACCAGGTGCGTCTATAGACCAATACGTGTCAAGGTGCGTCTATAGATCAATACATGACAAGGTGCGTCTATAGCCCAATACATGGCAAGGTGCGTCTATAGCCCAATACATGACAAGGTGCGTCTATAGCCCAATACATAACAAGGTGCGTCTATAGCCCAATACATGAAAAAGTGCGTCTATAGACCAATACATGACAAGGTGCGTCTATAGCCCAATACGTGACAAGATGCGTCTATAGCCCAATACATGACAAGGTGCGTCTATAGCCCAATACATGACAAGGTGCGTCTATAGCCCAATACATGACAAGGTGCGTCTATAGACCAATACATGACAAGGTTTCACATCGCAATGGGTCGCCAGGCGTCGCCCATCACGCCAACACACTAGCCGTGGAAGGTTCTTCATCGACTGTAGACTGATCTCTCAAGGGATCGAAAGCATAAAAACCTTTATCGGAAAACGGAAAATACGGGTGTCGTTCATGCATCCGTGAGCAATATTGGCGCACCAAGAATACACTTTCATAATTCGATAAAATAAAAAGGTATAGTCGAATCAATTATCAGCACGCGAACTTCAAACCCAACGAGCCTTACTGAAAACGAGAGATTTATGTCCCACCGTGTCTATACAGGCCTAAGTGTAAATCAATCAGGGCTGCCTGCCTGCGTTCATCATTGCACGCGTACAAGCGCAGTAATTACAGCAAGTAAAATGTTCTATTGCGACAACTCGTCGGTTTGAAGCGTCTCACCGTGAATTATATATATATATAATATATATATATATATATATATATATATATATATATATAACGAGGCCATAGAATGTGAATCTGGTAATAAGATTGAACCATCGCATAAGAGCGGCCCATCCCAGAATGCCGAAATATCATTTGGTAGGTATGATGAGGAGTCCTATAGTTCGATACATCGCTTCTGGAGTACCGCCTGAAGAAGGGACACGCGCACGCACGCATGTACGCACGCACGCACACGTACCCACGCACACGCGCACACACACGCACACACACAAAGACGGTTGGTAAAAGACGATTTTATAATAAAATTAATAATGAAAGATATAGCATATGCTGGAATTACACGCTTCAAAATAGTTCCATGCAACTCGAATTTATTTACGCTGCGGTTTAAAAGCGACACACGATAAATGTGATAACTGCATTTTTCAAAAATATGATTTTACGACGAACACAATGCATGTTTGTTATGCGAAATTTAAATGGACCTTATACGGCAAAGCCGGCAGTCATTTATTTCTGTGCACGCATTTTTGCCACGCTTATAGTCACATAGTAGAAGATACATTAACCGTACATTATCCTCGGGGGTCTTGATCGCTGGACCATCACTAGTTGTAACCCATTTGGCATTTAATGATGCTGCACAGGATTCATCCAATATGAATAGTTTCACGTAGAGTGAAAACTTAAAGTAAAAACTAAAACATTTATAAGAGTGGCAGTAGTTATTATAGCGTGATTGCATTTTCCCCTTTCCATCCGCGAGCCTAGCGCATATATGTACGTAACCATATTTTTATAGTGTAAGCTTCACTACCGGGCCGATGCAAGCTAAAAAGTCTAACACAAAAACTCAACGATGAATCGTCCGCAGGCTCCGAGAAAAACGCACGAATGTATTCAACATCCAGGCAGGTGCTATACAATGCAGATGTAGTACAGTAAGAATGTAGTATTCAATCAGAAAGCAGTTCTAGAGGCCTATATCACATGAATATACCAAGGAGTAACGTGTGTAGAATTTTAACAAACATAGACGAAAACGATGCCAATTTAAAATACTGCGAAGAAATTTTCCCGTTTTCTCATCGCAAGTTCTGCTACATCCTGCTCAAACAGAGCCGTAACGACTGAGTGGTCAATCTGAAAATTTATTTTTCAAGGCTGAACACCTATAATGGAATCTATTGTAAGTCCCTTGACAATTCTAATACAAAGTCACCGTTTTGCATCGACATTTATCAAACGGTACATCTCGGTAATTGCTCCAGCCTTTCATCACGGCTGTGCGAGGCAAAAATCAAAGGAAAGTCTGCTTTGTTTAGTGCATCGCGCGAGATCTCGCGGATTGCTTGTAAAGAACCGTCTCAAGCAATAAATATGCACATCGTATTTGTTATCGACAAGGAAAAATTTAATAGTGAATCAGCATGTTTAAACTAAGAATAAATTTCCAGACATAGTCACATGGGAGAATCTTGCCAACATTTGGAGAATTTCCATGTGGATATAAACACTGTTTGACTCGCTATGCCCGGGCGAATTGCTCTTACTGTGAAGCGATACCCTTGTAAAATATGGATTACAGTTTGCTTTACAAAATCTTTTGTTGAATTCCATGCCGACGGTAATGATACCCAACATTAACGTATAAAAAAGAGCTTTCGTCGATATAGCTTGAACATTATACTTAATCACAAAGCAAACACACATTAAAAAATAAACATTTTGCTCGTGTTTCAGCAGTCAGCGTTTATCAAAACATCGTTAAATCGGGTCATGGTAAAATTCGGCTTGTTTGCTGGCGCAGTGCAACCACGTTACACCCATACATGCGGTATTTACCTCGTTCCTTTCTAGCGCCGTGTTTGAGGCTGCCGTAAGTGTAACGATTATTAGTATAGATCTAGACCTGTTGACCCAGTGATAACCATAAAGGCGTATTCCAGACTGACGGCATCCGCGAGTAGTAGGAATCGATCACTGCGTTCACGCTACGCTCGTTCTCCTATATTTATCGATGACATGTTCGTCTTCGGTTCGTAATCACGAAGTGTCGTTGCTACCTTATTTCCCTCTAGCTCTCACCCGCTCTCTCTCCCTTATTATATATATATATATATATATATATATATATATATATATATATACATATATATATATAATACTTATATATTATTTTTTATACTTCATACAAATACTACGCATTACTATTCTTGGTTCACTGTCGGCTATATAGTATGTGTTCGTTCATGTGAAGTCACAGTATGGCTATTAAAGCCTAAATAAATACAACCGTAGGCCTACAACTCAACTCAACTCAATAAGTGTAAGAAGCAGCAATTGTTTCCTACATGAACATTGTATGGATGAATAATTTCGTGTTGATAATATAAATTGTTGTATTCACGGTGGCGGTGGTGGTTTCGGGCAGTGAATAAACACAAAAGCTAGTCCGCGCAACATCATATGCAGCACACTGACCTTCACTATCACCCCGCACAAGTATCACCACTAAGTTCTCTTTACGCGAGTATCTTGTAAATGAGTGATGTTTTGATGGTATTGAATCAGCTACCCCTTTCCTGCACCTATAGTTTACATCGCGTCATTTCCAAGTGATCCTCGTATGTAAGCGTTCTACCTTCCTATTCGTATGTTGAGGTTGATGTTATTGTAGATTAAAGGTGACCCGCTCCAGCAAAACCAGGATTAAGTAGGAAATTCGTAGAAATTAAGTATAAATTTGAGTTATGTGCATATCTGAATAGATCATTTAATTACCTTTAAAATGATATATAATATTTGGCTATATCTAAAGAATTGACCGATCTACAGCAATTTGAAGATCGGAAACCGACTTATTTCGATATATAAGTTCAGATAGCTCTAGATTATTATGGTCATTTTACATTGTTGCTTCGAGGGAGTCGAGTGAATGGAGTGCGCTGATTGGCTGTGGTCCGGAACTCAAGTGGGAAAAAGAATTTCGCTTCCGGGCAAGGGGCCCAGTCGGGGATGAGCGGGTAAAATATATTTTTATTTTTTTTCAATTAAAAATGACCATAATAATCTAGAGATATCTGAACCTATATATTCGGATTAAATATGCACTTATGAACTTATTTTTGTAAAAATCTCATTTTTTCCCAGGTAGTCCATTTTCAGCATTGACATGTGCTGAAAACAATGACTTGTGACTTAGTCCGTATTATGCTGGAGCCAGTCACAATTTTTTTTAAGATCTAACCATGCTGCAACAATATTGAGCGAAAAATACTACCTTCGCGATCTACCTGCTCCGACCCCTGAACAGTGTTTGTCGTAAGTAGACAACTGGGATATTTCTATTAGGCAGAACAATATTATGATGCCCAATCATTGATGAGATGCTAGTAGAAATGATCCCCGGCACTATAATAACACATAAGCGGAACATCCATGTTATTTGGACGGAGCAAGAGATAAAATCGCGTAATAAAGAGTCTTCGCCATGAATAAAAATGTCTGTAATCCCGGACATTCATTACTATATATATATATATATATATATATATATATATATA